CCAGAGGGTGGGGGTCGCGATAGGCGGAGTCTGGCTGATTTAGGGCCGCCATTTTGTGACAATGGACGAGAGGGGGGGTATGCCTATCTGATTGGCTGATCTACGGACTTCTCTCGTCCCGAACAAGCTTCTACAGATTGTTCGGTTGTACTCTCCGTCGGTACTCCAGCCACCCGGCGACCCGGCAACGCCGCCAACCCGTCCACGTCCCTTTCCCCCACCACCGCCACACGCACACCGCGCTTTTACCCCCACTCAGCCGACCCGCAGCGCCGTGAAAGCGAGACACGCGTCCTTCCCGCCACGGAATCGAACCGACTTGGCCCGACCACAGAATCACCGAACCCTTTCCTCGCCGAGATGCTTCTTTCGGTAAAGCGCCTATTACGTTGTTCTTGCGATTAGCCGAAAGCCTGAGAGCTCTTTTCGCATCGTCGATCCTAGTTCGGGTCGGGCCGATGTTGGGAACCGATGGTCGATAAGACAACGAAAGAATATCGTTCGTTGTAAATGGAATTTACGTTCCGCCGTTTACGTTATCGTCCCAAGATTGTTTATTTTCGATATATTCGGCGATTCTTGCTGTAGCTTTCGGTAAAACTCGTCGTCTATCGCGATGATCGAGTACGTTATCGTCGTACGAGGTAAGAGGGCGATTAGCAAGTTGCGTGCAAGGTTACTCCGTGTACGTGTCGCGTATTTGCGTCACAGAGAAGAGAAACGAGAAGAATAAAAGACAGGAGAAACACCGAGCGGTAGAGATAAGAAAATGCATACGCACGCGTGTAAATAGACAAGAATAGGCGAATAAGTGCTACAAAATACACCGAAATCCCGTCTGAAAGCTAATGTTCCTCGAGAATTTTCCCCAGTCTCGAAGGTAGAAAGCGATCCGCTGAGCGATCGCGCGTCGAAGGTCGTTGGCCTGTGAACAGATCCCGCGAATCGGCGCGTTTAGAACACTTTTAGGTGGAAGACAAGTCCGAATAGCGGATTGCGTGTAGAGGACAACGTCGAAACCGGTGCAGTAACGCGCGGATTGTTAACGATCTCACAGAGGAAGCATAAATCAACGATCGGCCTTTTTCTATTCCCAGAGAAATGCACTTTGCTAGCAAAAGTATTTCGCAGTGGACTATATTCTTTAGAATTTGAACAGGTTTGGAATTACCCGATAGGACGAAAGAAAGCTGACGCGTTATCGATACCTATCGATCGTCAGAGTCAATCGGTTACTCGTTAACGCCGTTCGGCGACGTTATCGACGAGTTCTCGCGGCTGCATCGCGATAGAGCGGATCGGAAAAGTCAGCCGCTATCGGATCGCCCGACCTGGGCCAACTTGTAACGCCAGTCGGTGCTCTCTTGTCGTCTCATCTCTCGTTGCTTTCCGGCCTCTGGTTTTCGGAGGAGGGGCGTGTATCTTAATCGTCGTATCTCATCTAGATAGGCCGCCGGCATCCAGATCGGCTCACGGAAACGCGTGCACGCGTGTACCTGTATCTAGGTAGACACGTAAGCTCTGTATGTTCGCCCGACCCGCTCCAAAACCGAACAACGTACCATCGAATTACCGGCCGATCTCCAACCTGATTCTGTCGCTCGTCGTTTTATCGCTCCACATCTCCGACATACGAAAATTACAATAGCGAATTTGAGTCTCCAACAGGTCGACGATCGATCTTTACTTCCCACGATGTCGCGTGGCAGCAAGATTTTCCTACGATACCTGTCTTTCGCCGGATTTCACCTTACGTGTTTAACACGAACGCATCGCCAAATTCGAATGCTGGTTTTTCCTATTTTTTGGATTGTTCGGCAACGTTCGATAATTTAAAAGTACGCGTCATGCGGTGTAGTTGAATCGGCGGATGAAAAATTGGAAGAAACGCGGACGAGATTTCTTCGAACGGCACGCGGAATCGCGCAATTATCGGCGGCACGCGGTGAATATCCGCGGCGATAGAACGGGCGCCAGTGGAAAATTCAATGTTCCCGAGCGAATTTAATGCAGTTCTCACCACCGATTGGCAGATACTGCGGCTCGACGCTGCCAAATCGTTCCATCAGACCGTGCACGTACCATATGCTCGTACGGCCTGCTTTGAATACATTAATAACCCCCGGCGACTCGGAATATTTGCACGACAAATTTGCGTAGATCGCCGATAACCGCGCGTCTAACCTAACGTGCAAAGTGTTTTACAATGGAACGCCGGGGAAATTTACAAATGTTTGCTCGTTATAAATATTTCGGCACGTTACCCCTTCGTTACGTGTCTTCAACAGTTTTCGCGAGATCCAGGGACCACGTTCCGCCGTTTTAAGGTCCGTCAAAAAGAAAAAAAAAAAAAATAAAATCCAACCGGTCAAGATCGCGTTGTTGTTAGACAGATTTCTTATTCTACGAGTTTCATCGTACAATCCAACCAACATTTGTAACAGCCTAGGCAGATACAAAGATCAAATGCGCTAATCTTCGATTTATTTCTCATTGCAGCGACACTGGTTCAGGTTGTTCAATTTCTTCCTGGTATTCGTCGAGATGTTCTCGTGGGAGACGTACGAACACCTTCCTTGTACGCTGTCAGATGTTCGTACGTCTCCTGAACCAGACAGACGAGGAAACAACGGAAACATCGGAGACTAGGAAATGTGACTGGGAAACGTGGACACCGTGGATGTTGACGAACACGGTATGGACGATGTATAATACCTAAACTGTTACATATAAAACTATGGTAACCAATTCGGGTGCGTTGCACGGCCAGCACATGGAAACAACATTGCACGATTGCGTATAAATGCACCTTTGCTGTGCGTTACGCGTTACCACTGTTCGTTCGTTCACGAAATTCGATACAAATATCTACACACGCAACATGTTTTCTAAGAGTCTAGTTCTGTTTCTTACGATTTAAACGCGCGGCCTGACATTCGGTCGTATAGATACAAATACAGTCCTTTAGTGGTTGATGCGTACTTTGATGAAAATCGAAAGATTTTCGAGCGACGACCAGCTAACTCGAAACACTCGCAGTGCATTTTTCTAACTTTCGTACTGGAAGTTTATAATTCCATGCCATGAAATTATATTTCTGTAATCTCCGTTTCATGAACTTTCTCTCGATCCGCTAAGGGAGCAAGAAAATAGCAATGGAAAATGCAGGATCGTTTGGCTGAACCGGTTAATTCTCGACCAACAGATAGCAACCGAGAAACGTTCGACGAGGATTATTGAAAACTCGGTGTGGTGGAAGGCAAAGTGCAAGGGCGAGTGGCTTGCTGCTGGTTCCTAGACTTTGCAAGTACCGTAAAGATGTCCCCCGGTGAAATCCAGCTTATCGAACGAACGAATATTATGTAGATGCGGCCGCTAGCTAGGGAGGTGTTGAATAATTCCGTCGGATCAGTGCGCTGATTTCATCGTTCTCTGTCGCGAGCGTGTGCGAGCGCGTGCCTTTACGCAGGTGTAGGCGCGCCTGTGTGCGTTTGTGGCGATGAAAGAGATGCCTTGCGCGATCGGTCGACCCAAATTTAGATCGGATCGAGGAAAACGGGAGGCACGGCGCGTGCCCCGCGCGAAGATCATCGCTCAGATAGACGCTTTCACGTACACTGTCCCTAGCAACGCGATTGAAAAATTTGCTCCGTTAATCGGCCTCCTGCTCGCCGCTATCCTTCGCCGAACCTCCGATCCAGATTCGTCTCGGATGGATTTTCCAGCGCTGTCTTTTCAAATAATGTAGGTATGTAGGTAGATAGGGTGTTTCGATAATGGGTTACTATGGATACAACGTTTGGCCGCGGTTCGCACTCGCAATATTAATTAAGCACACGTCTCTCGTTTACGACGTTCGTGACAAGAAAAAGGAAAAACGCGTGTAACCGTTATCGGTTGCTGAAGAGAGTCTGTCACGTGCCTACGCGCGTTCACACACAGACGTCGCGATTATGCTAATTGCGATTCATTTTCCAACAGTTTGTTCCGCTCGTTCTGCTCGACGTTGCAAAAGTATCGAGCAACCACGACGGGATCGTGATCGGTGAGCACGATCTCTCGTATCGATTTCCTCTGAAATATCTTGCTAAAGGGTAACACCGAGTCCTTCTTCGAGGGAGAGCCGGAGAAAGGCCGAGACGAGAAGATTGGAAAAGTGGGAAAAGGAGCATAGGGACGTTTCTGCCGGGTACGTAAATTTGCCGGCTGCTGTTGACGGATCGACCGGAAAGCAAGAAACTGGAATCGTAAACTCGTTAGCGGCTCTGTCGAACGTATTAACCGCGAATCCTCGGATTCCGTGCACATCGTCGATTCGGCAAGCGAGTGTAAAGAGGGCAGCCCTAGAACGAACAAGGGAAAGAAAAAAAGGCGAAATCGCGGTTGGAAAAACAAGAGGCTAGGCACCGCGGAAAAAGGAGCGCCGCTAGGGTCCTGCTGGAAAGAAGGGAGAGGCTCGGTGTTGACAGGAGAAGCAACACGAACGCCGCTGGGTCGTTCTCGTTGGTTCGATGGTGGGGAGGGAGTAAACGCCCGCTAGTAGGTTGGTCCGTGGCGGTAGGCGTGACCGGGTCGTGCCGAGTCGTGCCGAACGCTGGCGAACCCTAACGAACGCTGGTGAACGCGAGGGGAACGTCGAGACCGGTGTTTTCGTTCGCCTTAGTTCCGCGCCGGGTGCCACGACAGTCGCATCGACTCGAGTTTACGTGCGCGCGCGCGCGTGCTTCCAAAAATCTTTCTCTCTCTTTCTCTCTCTCTCTCTCTATCTGTCTCCCCTCCCAACGCGGATCGAGCAGTCGAGCGAGAGGAAAACAGACGGCAGAAGGAAAGCCAGGGGAACTCGCGGAGACACGCGAACCTGACATCCCGACGACCCGGTTCGAGCACCAAGCCCAGCAGCTCTCCGTGCACGATTTACCGTGCTCGTTTTCCCTGTGCATCGGTTTCGTTACATCGTACTGTTGTTTCTCACGAACGGCTCGGCCACGACTCGGACGACGACTTGGACGACGACTTGGACGACGCGCGCGATACACAGGGGCCCAGCTATCGACGCGGGCAACCATCCGAACGCCACGATGTGCTGTGTGTGTGTACTGTGCAGTGTCTTCTTGGTGCTAACTTAGTGATAACGATATTGAAACACGCCCACAGAGCGACGAGACGCCGCGCGGCGACATACCGCGCCACTCGGAATTCATAACTGTTCAGGTAAGCGTGTTTGGCTCGTAACGATCGCGAACCGCCGCTCCACCGATCGCCGACTCCTTTTCCAGAGAGGAGCAGCGTGTACCACTTTGCCTCGCGGTTCACGTTCTATCCTCTTATCGGTGTAACGAACGCTAAGTCGAATTTGGAGTAGATTCCGTGACAGTTTCCAGCGAATACCTGCTAAGCGCCAGATCGTCGTACGCTTTTCCTCTGGCGCCTCCATTCGATTGTCTTTCGCGTTCGACTATTCTCTTGCGAGTGTGCGATAGTTCGATAGTCGGTTGTTTTTCCTTCGACTGTACAGGGTCGTTGTAGGATGTCGTTGTACACCACCCAAGGAGTTGTTTCTGTTCGTGTTTCTCAGTGCGATGGACGCAAACGGAGTTGAGAGCGGAGTGAAAATCCGATCGCTGTGGAGGAAAATTGGCGTCGTAACGTCCACGTATCGCGATCGAGTTGCCATCGGTCCCTAGGTCGAATTCTCTTAGGATCGAACGTCGGAGAAATCGGAATTCTAGAGATCCGTGTGACAGATTTTTCGGAGTCGCAGCGATACTCCGGTTACCTTTCTGGCTGAGAAAGTACGACTTTGGAATTTAGGAAGTCTCAGATCCTTACGTAGGAGAAATTCAAGTTGCCGGTAGGTTGTTTTCGAAATTCGTCCCTCTAACTTTTGCCTGCCATCGCGTGAAAAATGTAACTGCTTACAGTCGAGCGCCTGCGATTCCATACAAAAACAGCCGTGCCTTTTTATTCGGATAGGTCGTTGACTCCGGTCTATTTAGAGGTCGAAGAAATTGCTTGTTTGCTCACGCCAGTGGGACGAAAAGATGGCGCCGACGGTCGCTAATTCTCTTTCACGCTGCGCTGTTTATCTTCAGCTTGCGTACACACCACCCTACGAAACTAAAAGTTAACTCGAATCTTGGGAAAATTCGCTCGGCGTTACGACCTAGCGGTCAGAGAGCAACAGAAAGGCGAAATGTCGCGCAATCCTACGCTAGTCGATTCGGAATTTTAGGTTCCCAGGGGAAACCGCGGCATAGGAGAGTCCAGTTTTTCCGATCGATCGGGTTACCGGCTTTCCATGGCAAATTGGAAACCCGATGCACGAATAATACTCGTGTAACTCGTTACGGTCGATTGCGTAACAGTTTGATTTCCACGAAAACAGAAAGAGACATAGTTCTTGTGTGTGTGTATGTGTTAGGCGACCGGAGTCGATCGAACTCCGACGGCGCAGGTAGATCGACCAATTCACCGGAAGAAACCCGGCGAGAACGCGCGGTGAGTCAGGTCTTTCCGCGACTCAGGATTTTCCTTTGTTCTTGCAACGGCCGTTTGCCTGCCGTAGCTATATCTGTTGACGCGGAAATGAAAATTACGAGCGTCGTTAGTGCCTGTCGTAGGTATCGTCTTTGAGAGGCAACGAGCTCCGTAGAAAAATTGCTCCGCCGTTGCTAGTTCTTTTCTAATCGATTAGCCAGTGAAGGACGATCGATTCGTGGATGACGTCAGCGGAATGATTTAAAATTGCTGTAGCTAATCCCTGTAGCGATACAGCCTGATGATTCGCCGTTTCGTAAACGAAGAAAATTGTCCTCCAAATTTACCAAAATCTCTAGTTAGGAATCGAATATTCGTCGCTTTCTAAACGCAAGTTTCATCGTATCGCCATCGATTCGTATCCTTTACACGGCTCTGCTAGTTGCGTTTAGTTTCCACGTACGTTCCACTTAGCGGCTTATTAACATACGTTAACGTCAATCATATTTTCTTTTCAACCGTCAAGTTGACAACTGCCGCGACCAATTGTCACGTCGGGTCGATTGCATTCTCCGTAAACACAGGCCGTCGTTCGTCACTTTTCAAATTGTAAATATCTCGTTCGGTAGGCGTTTGTAAGATTCCATCGAGTCTGGACGTCGAATAAACAGGAAAAATTCGCAGGTCAAAGCATAATCCGTGTGCTACCATGGTTTCCAATATGCCAGTGGGACGCTGGCAATTGAATTTTTCGGAGCGACAGGTAGAAAATCGGAGGACAGGGCGGCGAGTCGGCGAGAAAGTGGATGATTTTCAAAGGGAATTCACCCCTTGCAGAAGGGAGGCGATATCGGCCGATGGTTTGCGCGCGGCCTATAATTGCTAATTTGCAAGTATAATAAACGACCGTCGGTTTCTGTTTTCATTTATTAGCCGCGAAATGCCTCCGCTTATTAGCGCAACCATGCATTCGAAGCAATTCGCTCGTTTCTTCGCGATAAACATTCTCTTCGCCGACGAAACGCCGGCTGCGTTGCTTCCTCCTCTTCGTCCTCATCCTCCTTCTCTTCCTCCTCCTGCCTCGCCATCCATCGATTCTCCAATTTTTATTTAATTATTCTTCGTCCTTCGTTCCTTCTATGGAGTCGCGTATTTAATGGAAAATCACGACGGTATGTAGCGAGGGAATTTTTCCAGCGGAAATTTATACACGCGGATTTCGCGTTCCACCATCTTCAAACGTAAACGGATCGACTCTGTCATCGATAGACGGCGCATTTTCGCTCGATTTCGTATTTTTACCAATTGCTACAACCGAAAAGAAATAGAAGAAGAAGAGAAATAGCATGGAAATGGGCATTTGATTTATTAAATATCGCGATAAGTATTCCGCTTTGGTTATCTCGCACATCTTCCAGACATCGTGCACGAATTGTGCGCGGTGTTCTACACCCTCGAATTTCTTGTAAATGTGCAAGAAGCCGCGGTCTAGTCGTCGATAAATCGAACGATATCGTAGATCACGAACGAGTGCTCCATTGTTTCTGTAATGAACAATCGAATTATTGGTCGATACGATATCGAGTAAGATCTTCGTATTGCGAAAATTCTCGGTAACGTTGGCTCCAAGGATCTACGCGTTTTTCTGTTCATCGGAAATCATCGAATCCGGTATTTCCCATTTATCAGGTTCGATGTAAATTACGAGATCGGAGAATTCTTCGTAAAGACGATCGACGTAGGATTCTGCTTGCCACTCGTCGTCGTCGTCGTCGTCCACTTTGCAACAAACGTGCAGTGTTGTATTCGACAAATTCGACAAATTCCGCCTCAGAGGTTCGCAGGTCTGCGAGTATCGCGTTTCCCTGTTGGAGCCTCGATCCGACGGCTGAGAATCGCGCGCGCGTCTTATTCTCATCTTCGTCGTTCGCACTCGCGTCGACCATCTCCATCGTCGTCGAGCTTCCACGCTTTACGACTTCTCTGCCTATTCGAATCTCCAGCTACCGCATGATCAAAATTCGCGCACGATCTTGTAGCGACTGGGCAACTGGCGAACGAAAGAAAAGATTCTAAAACGAAAGATACAAAAAGACATTGTAGTTTTGCGAAACGTACCTGGTAAGAGCAAACGATTGTTATTTGTATGGTTCTATGGTTAACTCATGGCGTATCAACTTGAAACTTTCTTTCATCCGGCGATGAAAGTCGAATTTCGGTCAACAGCATAGGATTTTCTGCGTCGCTGTCTTTCGCTCGCGTTTCTGAAACCAATTCTACCTCTTCGTCGATCTCTCAACAGAGATTCTAACAGCATATCGGAAATCTGTAACACCTGATGCGATCTCCGTGGTAATTTAAATATTATTCCATCGCCGCTGCTGCTCGCAATACTTGTAATTCCGACTTACGCTGCTTCGTCGGAGAATCAATTTTCCGATCTTGGTCGGACCGATGTGACTGGAAATATTACGCTTCCGCAAACGCGTGCTTTCCAAATATTTGCTTTTTCCACGCGATGCGATTTTCTGTTCGCCACTAAAATAAAGTAGCCGAGAGAAAGAAGATGTAGGAAGAGACGAGCGAGCAGCGATCCAAGAGGCGAGTAATTAATTCAGGCACGTGAAAAGATCGGCCGGAAAAGGGCAAAGATACGTTTCACCATGCTTCGGGGACGATTAATCCGACTGGATATATTTTTTTCTACGTTGCACGCGAGTCTTTGGTGGACTTTGCTCCAGGTTCGAGGTCGCCGCTTAACGATTTTCGAGGCGGTGTCACGAAATCGGCGGCGAGTTGCTCGCACGTGCAACGCGACGCCGTTCTTTTTTTTTCGGACGGAACAAGATTAACAAATCTCGATAAGATTATTCTACGCGATACGTGATCGGCCGGCTCGCTTCGATGGAGGTGTTTTTTTCGCCGCGATGATGTAACGTCGTCACCTCTTGCGATAAATCGTGGAACGTCGCGTTGCCGCGATTTTCGCGCCGATGACGCGCCGATGACCACGATGGAAGTTAACCAGGTTCTATCCCGAACCTTCCGGGCAAAAATCTTATCTCTGCCTCGCCGATAACACCAGATAAGATCCGTTGCCTCGCATCTTTTCGCGATTTGTCGAAATATCGTGGTTCTTGCGCGAAATCGCTAGATTTAATAATGACAGAGTTGGACTCTGAACCGCCAACAATTTGAACTTTGACGATTCCACCGTCCGTCGAACTTCATCTTCTCCACCGACGTCCTTCGAGCTTCGAATCTTTTTTTCGTCTCTGTATCTCTCGAGATACCTGGATTTTTTCAATTATTCTATCGATAAAAGGAGATATAGCGCACGAGAGGTGGAGAAATTACGTGGAATGGCAGAATGAAATATTCCAAAGCTACGCGTCTTTTCGTAATATTTATCGAAATACAACGTTCATTTCGGCCGATGAGGACAGTCGTAGAACGACGCGATTAGATTCTGCGTTAGAAGACTCAGGTTGGAAAAGGCGCGGGGAAAAATGCGTGAAACGCAGCAGCGTAGATTCTCCTGGGTTATTTTCGACTCGTCTAATCTTGTCTAAAGTCATTTGGTAGTTTTCTTATCGGCTGGCGAGCTTGCTTATCTCGATGGTCGAAACATTCAGGCCCACCTCACGATTTCAAGGAGTGATCAGCCGAAAATATCGACGCCAGCGATCGCGATCGTCTTTCCGCTTGTCTCCCGCCATCTCTGCCGTTTGCTTTCGCGCGATTCGCTTCCTCCAGCGACCCTTCGTCGTCGCGTAACGCGAAAATCGCACTTGGGCCGACGAATTCTGTCATTCTTCCATCGTCCCCTCCACCCGTTTCCACGAGTTCCGCAATTTTTCTTAGCTTTTGGTAGAATCACCGCACGACTCTGGGTATCTCTAGATTTTAGTCGGAATTTATGCAGAGGTTTTAGGTATTAAGGATCATCCGAGACACTTGGCCGTACAGTTCTTCGATTTTCCAAACGCGAAATAAGACGAACAGCCACGAGAAAAGTAGTCGTCGATCGACGCGTTTTTCGCCTGCTGTGGACGTGCAATAACTCGAACGGCAAAGTCGACGAATTCGACAGAATCGTGGAATCGAAGGAATCGCGTACGCGTATTTGGCTGCGGTTTCGCTCGTCAACGATATCGCGGACGATGATAGCTCGGAGGTTACAAGCTGCGAGGTTGTGCACTTTTGTCTAAATAGCGGAAAAATTGGCGATAATTATGAGCGTAATTATTGAATTATAATTAGCGTGGAAAGTAGCGAGAGGCGCGAGGAATTATTGGAACCGCGTAGAGGCCGATTTCGTGCTGTTAATCTTATCGCCAGGCTTTTTGTGTATATCTTATCGGATCTCGTTCTCGAGTATTTTGTTTGGCCTGGACATATAATTTTGAAAACGCCTCGTCCCTCCGTCATCGACTACTTCTACGTACGTAATATATTTTTCTAGCAATTCTGCCGGCCATTACAAACATCCATTTCAACAAATTTCTTCCCATTTTTATCTAATCCGCCGTGTTTTCGAGGGACCGCGAAGAGGCGATCCTCTGCGACGATGTTGCCGAGAAGGAGCAAAGTTCTTGCAACCAGCGTATCGTCATTTTCACGCGTAATGTGTACAGTTACGTGTCGTTGTCAACAGCTGACTGGTCGCAATCGAATTATACAGCAAACGGTTCCATAGCTGTAAATAAATAGACGAAAAAAGACATCGTCCATCGCGGTGGTTTTCCGAGCGTACAACGCTCTATCGATATCGGACGATCGGTCCTTTCGGTTACGTCATCCACGACCTTGATCATCGACTGTGTACCCGGGCCGATTGATAAATCATTTGGAGGCACTCGATGGTCGAGTGGGCCGAGCACACATCAGTGTCGCCTGACTGAAGCGCGCAGATCGGGAGCTAATTAACCGAGATCTGTCGGAGCGATCGGCTATCGTGATCGCGGACGGGTGAGTCTGGCCGCGAATTTCTTGGTTTGTTCGCGCGTTTATCTGCGAAGATCTGGCCGAGAGA